GCTTCTCTGCGGCCGCCCCTCCGCCCCCATCGCCCCCTCGAGCGCCGCCTCCGCTCCGCTCTCCCTGCCTCCCTCCTTGCCCTCGCCTCTCTCGGCACCTTCATCATCCCTCCCAGACCCCCGCGCCCCACACTTGTGCGGGACCCTCCTGGCTCCCAAGCCTGGCCTGGCCCCGGCTTTTGCCTTTGGACCCCCGCTGGTCTCATCAGGGTCTCCAGCAAGGCCTGGAGATCCCAAACTTGGGCATCTTTTCCTTTTGTAAAATCGGCCCGAGGCTGCTGCTATCTCTCCCTCCCACCTCCATCCGTAAATGAGGAAACTGAGGCAGGGACATCGCCAGCTCAAGGTCACAGGCAGCAGGAGGCAGAGCGCAGAGCAGAACCACCTTTAAACCTCGTGTCTGAGTTTCCAGACAAACTTCTCGCTTGGTTGACTCACGTCCACGTCCTGTGATGTGCTTGGGGCACATTCCTGCAGAGGGTGCCACCGGCCTCCCCACAACCCAGCATCAGGGGAGGCCTCTCTGCGCCTCCTCCGTGCCCACTGCGATCACCTGCATTGCCACGCTTACACACAGGGAGGCATGTCCCGATCATCTTCTCCGTGACCAGAGAGGGAGCGGCCTGGACTCGCCTAAAGTCGGTTAAACTGTTGAGCACCAAGGTGCCCTAGCATCTGTGTGGCATCCCTGCTAACGGATACTTTTGGTCCGCCCTGCCTCCTGGCTTTCTCCCTGCCCCAGGAACATGGATGGGGTGGCCCTGCCCTAGCTTTCCCCACTTGCACCTCTCAATACAACCCCTTTAAACTGTTCAGGTGCCGCCCCTGTCCCCAGAATGTCTCCCCAGGGCACATCTTGGCAATAGGGACACCCCTGGCAGCCAGAAACACCCGACTGGGCTGGGCCAGGCAGTGGCTGAGAACCCCGCCAGCAGTGTCTCACCCTGTCATTAAGGAAAGTTTAGTCTCAGGAGGATGTGCTGACACACCGTCTGAAGCAGCCTCCAAAGGAAAAATTGTGCCGTCCTTGAGGATGGGGTGTGGAGGAGCTGCACACCTTAGATCTGTGCACCTACCATTGGGAGCCTCGGCTGCCCTGACCAGGGCGAGCAGGATGGTGATGCGTGGCCGCTTGGCAGGGGAGACTGAGATGCCACGTCCCCTCAGCAGGTGTGTGCCCTAAGTGTCCTTTGGGTTTTTCAGCACGTGGCATGCCTGGATGTCCCTGCCCTGTTTGTCACATGGCGGGCCGAAGGCTCCTCTTCCTTACTGCTCTTACCCTGGAGCTCCTGGGAGAGGCTGGGGGTTCCCAGCCAGCCCTCTGGAGTGGGGGTGCTGCAGCAGCATGTCGCCTGGACAACAAGGAGAGCGAGTCCTGGGGGGCCCTGCTGAGTGGAGAGAGGCTGGACACCTGGATCTGCTCCCTGCTGGGCTCGCTGATGGTGGGGCTCAGCGGGGTCCTGCCCTTGCTTGTCATCCCGCTGGAGATGGGGACCACACTTCGCTCAGAAGGTGGGTGACCTGCCTCTGATGCCCAGGGCTACCAGCTGTGGTGCTGCAGTCCTGGGAGCCCTGGGGTCCCCCGTCCTGCGTTACAATGTATCTGAGATGGAGATCAGGGAATAGGCTCAAATGTTTCGACCCTTGGACCTGTGAAACTAGGGTGCACCCTATTGATTTGTTCATTCATTCATTGATCCTTTCAGTCAGCATTCACCAAAAAGCAGTATAGATAGAGACTAGAAATATGCCACCTACCTACCAGCTGGGTGGCAACAGAGCAAGGTACTAAAGTTAAACTTCACTGTGCCTCAGCCTTGAAAATGAGGATGATGGTATCTACCTCATGTCAGTTGTAGTCAACTCGATGGCACCTCACAACAGCCACCCCATAGGAATGGTTGTGGTGACGTGATGAACTAATACAAGCTAAGCAGAATGCCCAGTTCAGGGAAGGGGCCCCAGCCTTGTGTGGGGAGGCGGCAGAGAGCGAGGCTCTGGCTCAGCCTGCAGTCTCTGCTTATGTACAGTGCACGCCATCCTCAAGCTGGGTCATTGCTCCCCAGGAATCCACCTCGGCTAGCAGCATCTGCCTCTGGGAAGGGCTCTGGGAGAAGGGGGTCAGGCACGGGCAGACGCCTTTTCCTTGGCCGTCCCGCACCATGCCTGTACTGCCTAATCACGAATTTTCACAGTGGTCCCTTGTGGTGGAGTTGACTCTGATTCACAGAGATGCTGCATCCACAGGAGGACAGGACCGATTCTTAAGATTTTAGGGGCTGTGACCTTTTGGAAGGTGGTTGCCAGGTCTTTGTCCTGAGGCACTTGAGCCCTCACTTTTTTGGTTAGTAGTCATTTCTTAACTATCTGTCCCTCCCTGTGACTCTCTTGATTACATTATCATGCTGCATTAAAACAATGAGTCCCTGATGGCACATGGTTGGCTGTTAACCTGAGTTAATGGTTTCAACCCACCCAGCAGCTACCCGGAAGAAAAGTGTGGAGTCTGCTTCCAAAAGATTTACAGCTTCAGAAACCCAAAGGGGCAGTTCCTCTCTTCCTACTGGAGCATTGAGTCAGAATTGATTTATTGATTCCTAGCAAAAGATTTCATTAAAAAGTGTATATGGGAAATTATTAAAAATGCAAGTGCCTTTCCCTCCCCACCCAAGAAACATGATGTAGTAGGTCTGGGCTGGACCTCCCCCCCCCCCCAGGAATCTCTAACTCTCATCCAGGGGGCTTGTGTGTCCCTGACCCAGGAACAACCCACTAGACAGGGAGTTCTTACTGAGCAGTGCCTGGAGCTGGGCTGAGGGCTGGGGCAGCCCCTCTCACCTTCTCAGTGCACCCTGGAGGTCAGGGGAGGGAGTTACCCACACAGATATTCTTGGAGCAGCCCCTGACAACCCAGCCTGGAAGGAACAGCTTCCCTTGGGACCCACCCTACCCCCAAACTGCCTATGCCCTCGGATCCTAAACAAGGGGGTGGACGTGGGCACTTCCAGCTCTGGATGCTGCGGGTTTGCAAGAGTGCACAAAGAAGTCTTTTGCTGCTTTTTGGAGAGAAAAGCATGGCTAGTGAAAGCAGAGTTGCCATGTAATGAACACTTGGCTGTGTGCTGATTGTGCATTTCATTGCAACAAGAGCCCTATCAGAGAGACGTGGATTCCCAGTTTGTAAATGGGGAAACTGAATCTCAGAAGTTCCCTGTACGAAGTCCCCAGCTAGTAAGTTGAGCCTGTTAAGCTCCAGAGCCCAGGCCCTTGCTGCCCTGTGGAGCGGGGGACTTAGGGAGAGTAGCAGCCCTGTCCAGGCTTGCAGGCTGGTTGGAGGGATAGAAAAGACCCAGTGAGCTAGGTGGGCAGAAGCCAGGTTCCAGTGGTGAGTCAGCCCCAGGCTTCAATCTCCACCTTGCAGCTGGTGCCCGGCGCCTGAAGCAGCTGCTCAGCTTTGCCTTGGGGGGGCTCCTGGGCAACGTGTTTCTGCACCTGCTACCCGAGGCATGGGCCTACACGTGCAGTGCCAGCCCCGGTGAGTGAGGCCCGAGCCCTGGGGAGGGAGGGCAGGAGGGGGAGCTGGTGCCCGTACCGAGGGGCAACTCATGGATCTGACAGGACCTCACCAGGGAGGGGCCAAGTTACCATCCAGGTCCCAGCATCTGATCCCTGTGGATCCCTGGATCCCCTCCAGCCAGCCCTAGTTCTGGGCCCCTGTTACAGCCCTGGACTAGGTTCCACCCCAGGTGACCTCCACTCCCCTAGCCCTGGCATGGCCTGACAGTGTCACCCCTGCAGGCGATGAGGGGCAGCGCCTGCAGCAGCAGCAGCAGCTAGGGCTGTGGGTCATCGCCGGCTTCCTGACCTTCCTGGTGTTGGAGAAGATGTTCCTGGACAGCAAGGAGAAAGAAGGGCCTGGCCAGGTGAGTCTCCAGCCCTGAGCAGCCTCTCCATGGTGGGGTTCCAAGCTGACTCTGGAAAGCAGTGTCTTGGCCATTTTCTGGGGACACTGGTGGGGTCTGGGAGTGATGATGGCAGAGCCTCTGCTGTGACTATTGCTGACAGATCGACAGTGGGAGTAGTATGGGGGGATGTTGAGTTTAGGGCACCTGGCTAATGCTGCCTTTCCCTCTTCCTGGCCCTAGGTCCCCAGCAAAGATCCCACTGCTGCTGCTGCTGCCCCTGCACTCAATGGAGGCCACTGTCTGGCCCAGCCAGCTTCAGGGTCCAGCCTGCGAACCATGGTCCGGAACATCAAAGTAAGTGACCTTCCACAGCCACCCCGCCTCCCACAGCCACCCTACCTCCCACAGCCACCACGCATCCCATAGCCACACCGCGGTTCCCAGTCACCCCGCCTCCTAAAGCCATCCCACGCTATGTGGCTGGCTCAGCCCTGCCTACCTCGCTTGGCCCTCCCTACGTTGCTCTACCCTTCTTGTCCAGCGTAGTCCTTCCTGGCCCAGTTCTGTCTCCCTGGCCCAGCCCTGCTACCCAGCTTAGCTCTTCCTCCTTGGCTCAGAGCTTCTGACTGGGCTCTGCCCAGCTCGCTCTCTCTCATCACCCAGGTTAGTGGCTATCTCAACCTGCTGGCCAACACCATAGACAACTTCACTCATGGGCTGGCTGTGGCTGCCAGCTTCCTTGTAAGCAAGAAGGTAAGTGGGGGCTGAGGCAAGTGGGGTCTCATGCACTCTCCGTGGGATGGATGGTTCCTTTGTAAACCAGTTGATTCTACCTTCGAGATGTGTGTCCAGTCTACCTACTTCTTGCTCCCGCCATTGCAGGTACTTATACCGAAGGCCCCCTCCCTCCTACATGTGGCCACTCTGTTTTCCAGCACCTTTTGTCCTCATACACTTCCCACAATGCTACTAGCTCTCTTTCACTCTAACAGGGTAAAGCTCCATAGGGTTTCCAAGTCTGGGAGCAGGCTGCGTCCCGTGAAATGACTGCTGGGTTCACACTGCTGAGGTTTTGCGTAGCAGATCAGTGCTTTATCCACAATGCTACCCAGGCTCCTTTCGTCTACATTAGGGCCACTGGCACCCAGTCCACCCTTTCCTTGACATCACAGCGTACAGACACAAGTCTCTACATTTACGCAGGGCTTGTCTCCCCTCGAGACCATAAGCCTCCTGAGAGCAGGTTCTTTCACTCCTGTGTTATCACTTAGCAGATATTGGGGGGTGGGTGTGCAGACCCTCAACAACTCATGCTCCCCTCCCTGCAGATCGGGCTCCTGACGACCATGGCCATCCTCCTGCACGAGATCCCCCACGAGGTGGGTGTCTGGAGTGTAGGGAGGAGTGGGGGTGATAGGGGAAAAAGTGGTGGGAGGTGGTCTGGAGCACAGAGGAGTGGGGAGAGGAGCAGAGGGTGGGACCCCTGAAGCATAGGGAGGACTGGGAGGGTGGAGCTGTAGCCACCATCACAGCTGCTGGGCTGGTGAAGGCAAAAGTTCAAGGTGAGGTCATGCAAGAGGTGCTGAGGCCGAGTGCACATCTGCCCTCCCCTCAGGTGGGCGACTTCGCCATCCTGCTCCGGGCCGGCTTTGACCGATGGAGCGCAGCCAAGCTGCAGCTCTCGACGGCGCTGGGGGGCCTGCTGGGGGCCTGCTTCGCCATCTGTACGCAGTCCCCCAAGGGCGTAGGTACGGGCGTTGTGGGTGGCGGTGGTGGCCAGTGGAGGGACCCCAACCACAGAGCATGCCTGCCCTGCTCCCCCAGTCTGCCTGCAGGAGTGGTGGGATCACACACAGGTCCCTAGCTCCCAACCAGCAGGCGTCCTCCTCCTACTGCAGAGGAGACGGTGGCCTGGATCCTGCCCTTCACCTCCGGCGGCTTCCTCTACATCGCCCTGGTCAACGTGCTGCCCGACCTCCTTGAGGAAGATGACCCATGGTGAGTGTCCCATCCCTGGCAGGGCCCTGGGGATTCAGTGGAAAAGGGGTGTCCTGGCCTCTGCCTTGACCAGCCCTCCCCCACAGGCGCTCCCTGCAGCAAGTGCTTCTGCTGTGCACTGGCATCGTGGTGATGGTGCTGTTCTCGCTCCTGGTGGAGTAACCCTGCCAGACGTCCCCATCCCCACAGCAATAAGAGACTGAGATCCATCCTGTGACCTTGTGTGAGAGGCAGAGAGGACGATGTGTGAGAGCCACCAGACAGGAGGGAGGGTGGGAGTGTGTGTGGTGTGCATGTGTGGTCTGCAGAGGCCTGTGTGTGAGACCGACACTGTGATCCCTTGCGGCCAACCCAGGGCCTCGTCACGGCTTCCCTCCTTGCTGCCTAAGTAGTGGTCACCTCCCTGAGCAAGTGCTGAAGAGCAGCAGCGTTGGTCCCCAGCAGAGACCTGTCCCCATAAGGACCTCCTGGGGAGGTGTGTGAGCGGCCCAGGACTGCAGGGAACCCCACAGATCCGTGGCCTGAGAGCTTAAAACCTTCAGCTCCAGGACACAGGCCCTGAGAGACTGAGGGGGTTGTGTCTCCATGTTGCTGGACCTCTCCCTGATGGCTGGAGAAGAGGCAGGTGTTCCTGTGACAACCACCTCCCCCAACTCTGAGCTGGGAGCTGCTTCCACCTCGGGCCAGCTCTGGGTCCCCGGCAGGCTCCCTGGCAGCATCAGCAGCTCTTGCCACCTCCAGCTGCCAAACAGCAGCCTGCAGGGCAGTGAGCAACCCCACCCGCAGCTCCCGGCCCAGCTCAGGACAGCACTGCCAGCTAGCTTCTCCAGGAGCATCAAGTGCCCAGCCTGCCTGCCCCTCTCGGGCCCCTCTGCCTTCCACTGGGCTGGAGCGAAGGTGGAGGCAGCAGGCCCCTTTGTCAGCGCTCAGGAATGTGTTCTGGGAGAATGCAGAAGCCATAATCCCCAGCTATTTCCCTTGGCTGGCACCCAGGTACTCAGCTGGCCCACTCCAAGGCCTGACTCAAATCCTGCTGCTCACCCCCGGGCAGCTGTTCTGAGAAGTGGCCAGAGAGAGGGTTTGGTTTTATAGCAGTGCTGCTGAGGTTGTTTGTAAATAACTGTTGTCGACAAGATACAAATAAATATCCACAAGCTGGCTACGTGTTCCACATTCACTTTGTGTTCCAGTAGGCCTCTTCTGGGGCTGCGGGCCACTCTGCCTTCTACACCCGGCATTAGCTTCAGACACCCAGGGCCCAGATCTCCGCAGCCCTCCCTGCTCTTGTGGACAGCAACAGGGCACAGCACTTCTTTTTTCTGGCCCACTTTGTTGTTAGCTTTTTAGTCCAATAATGGCTGAGTGCATCCTCTAGGCCTGGTACTACCAGTTTAGCCCCTTACCACCCTCCAGTGTTCTCTCTTTAAAGAACTTACTGTTGGGTTTTCCCATGCCCTTCCTGCTGGGAATGGAATCAGGAAGATCCCATTCACATTATCAAAGTTTGGCCTTGATGAAACTGCTATTTCATTTAGAGTCTGGTATCCTTACTCTAAACCATACTTTCTGTCCTATATGGGACGTAAAGACACCACCAGGCACTGGGGGGCGCTGCCTCCCCACAGTGCTATGAGGACAGCACAGAAGGGTGATGTGGTGGCCACTCTTCTCCAGGTCAGCCAGGACAAGTAGAGCTCACTGACCAAGAACAGCAGTGTCTCAAGTGTTGCAGGGTGAAAGCAGTAAATGCCAATCTGCCACATCCAATTTTTCATCAACAAAACATTTACAAGGGGCATAGATACCTGCTTTTGGTTGTGGCATCCGCAGGAAGATCATGTTCAAGGTCTGATGGAACGCAGGCAGGGCTGTCTGCACCAGCCCCACCTGCCCAGCAGCTGCATCTCATTTAGAGCATCTCATACAGACATGGTCTGGGCCATCTTTCTTACTAATGAGGAAGCTAAGACAGGGTGAGGGTGGTCACTATGGTCAGACCCACTCTTGGACCATGTTTGAGGCAACAAGTACACTATCTGTTAGTGGAAACAGGGAATGTACATGAAGGGGCTGAGCTCGGGGCAGGGGACAGAGGCAGCACTTCAGAGACCACTGATGGGGAGTCCAGGGGCCTGCCACAGAGGTCGAGAGCTGTGGCCCCAGGGCACAGAGGTGGTGGCAGTGAGACCAAAGGCAAAGAATCAGCTGGAAGGCAGTGGACTATTCTGTCCATGTGCAAAGCAGAGCAAAAGGGAGCAACACTGTTCAAGTGTCTTAATCACAACTAAATACCCTGAGGGAACAAGTTGCCACATCTGGGGCCTTGGGGAACATCAAGGTTAGCTGGCTAACGTAGCCCACAATGCTCTCCAACCTATTTTGCTGAGTAACCACTGTGGTCTTAAAAGCTTGCAAACAGTCCTGCGAGGTAGAACTACTGGTCTCTCCCCAAAGGAAGAAAACAAAGTTCTAAGACAGAATCTGTGAACCTCTACTTCTGCGTCCTCCAACCAGAATCAGCCAGTGCCTGCTACCACTGCTTACCTTTCTCAGGATCACAGAAGATCCTGGGCAGAGGGCGGGCAAATGTGGGGCAAAAAAGAAAAAGGATTTCCCTTACTGGTCTGGTAGTCTGGGGGAACCTTGAAGATTTTAGCCTTTAGGCACTATCCCCTATGGCTCAACTTTAAAATAAGAGACACACCTATAAAGTAACCAGCGACATCAAGGAGGCCCTCACTCCTAAGATAACCAACCATATAAGGTCTGAAGAGCAGCATCTGCTCAAGGATAATCTCGGAAGCAGGAAGGGGTAAGATTAATAGAAATGCAGGTCACAGGGAGGGAGCTCGAATAACATAGTTGTTAGTGAGATGTGCTGCTCAGCCAAAGGCCAAGTGCCTCCAGGAGTTCAAATCCACCAGCAGTGCTAAAGGAAAAGGTGGGCATCTCTTCCTGGGATGATTTACAGCCTCAGAAACTCAACAGGGAGTCTGTTTGGAAAGTGAAGAAAAGCATGATTGCACTGCCAAAGTGCATGAATGACTGAGTCGAAAACTAATGTGCTTTCTAAACCTTCACTCAAACCACATAATTAAGATCTTGAAAACACGAGCACTGTGGGGCAGTCCTACCCTGTCACCCGGGGTCACCATGCATCAGAACTCAGTGGCTGCCAGTGGTGGCAGAACACTGGCCCACCTGCTTTAACTCCATGACACAGAACCAACAGGAATTCAAGACAGGGTGCCAACAAGGACCTGGTTACTCTGTTTCCCTGTTGGTTACTCTGATCACTATATAAATGCATGTGGAAAAAACTGACCACACATGGCCCAAAGCAACCTCAACAAATGATGCCCAAATCAGCTCAGCATGAGGTGAGCAGAGCTGGGAAGCTGGGTGGACAAGAGGGGCCTGGCAGGCAGTGAAGAGCAGATGGAAGAACTGGAAGGTGGGCGAGAGAAGGCAGCGTGACAAAAGATGAGGCCTAGAAGGACTCTCTGAGCAGATCTTGTTTGGGTTCCTTTTATAGCCAGAGGCACAGCTGGTAACACACTAAGAAACAGGAAGCTCAGGAAACAGGAATTTTATGAAATAAAGACTAGGGTCAGGGTCCTAAATTGCAAAACGGAAAGATGCTGGTTTTTCTTTAGGCTTTCCACTCTGAAATTGCAGGAACACAGCTTTAGAGAGGTGGGGCAAAAGAGAAAGGGACTTCTAAGGGGAGAGGTGGTAGACTTAAGACCCTTGACAACAGCTGCAGGGACTCCTGTCCATCCCAAAGGGACTTCCTGTGACAACTGGTCTGAGGCCCTCAGCTGCCTCAGCAGCTCCCAGGGACCTGGTTAGGGTCTTCCTACATATGCCTGCACTGTCCTACCTCAACCCCAGAGCAAGCAAGACAGTGAGTGGGGACTTGAAACCATCTTTTATTACTAATTTTCAACAGAAAAGAACAGGGAGGGGGCGTGATGCGGGTCCTGCTAGGCATAGTACTGCAGGTTGGCCTTCTTCTTGGCCTGCACCTCCAGGATGCCCTCCATGTAGTCCTCATGGGTGAGCTCCGTGGCACCTCTGCGCAGCGCGATCATGCCCTGCAGCCAGGACACAAGGTGTCTAGGTGCCTCCCTCCACCTCGAAGAGGCCCCTGGAGGCCTCGCCTTCTCCCCCAAGAGCCTCCACCAGCCAAACAGGCTGTCATGTCCAGGAAAAGGGGCAGGACGGGATGAGCCCACCCCACTAAGCCCACGAGCCACTTACCGCCTCCACACACACTGCTTTGCACTGGGCCCCATTGAAGTCGTCTGTGCAGCGGGCCAGCTCCTCATAGTTCACATCAGGACTGGGGAGGGGACAAGGCCATATGCTTAGTCACTTGTGGGAGGAGAAGCAGGTGCTGTCCTTACCCTCACCAGCTTGCAAGGGCAGCCTGCAAGGGCAAGCCTGAGCCACTGTGCAAGATGGGTCAGGTTCAAGTGAGTTAAGCCAACTGATTGCTCCCGTTTTTGGAGCTGCAGCCATCTACAAATCTGCACCAGCTCCTCCAGGAACTCACATGGCCAGAAGTAGGAGTGGAGGGGGTGGTAAGGCAAGGGATAGTCACCTCATAATCTCCCACAAAGTTCTATGTCAGCACTCCATTATCACTACTTTCTGTACACACAGGTCCTGAGCCCGTGCTTGCTGGGCCACATCTGACTATAACCCCAAGTTCCATTTAAAAAACCTTGAGGTTTAGAGAGGTTACAACACCTGCTCACCTTATGGAGATACTTAGCCCAGTTTTATGTGGTCCCCGAAAAGATTCCCCAGGCAACACCTGGCCTGAGAGCAACTGCTGAGGGGATGGGAGGGGAAGGCTTGAAGGTCTCTGGTCTTAAGAGAATGAAATGGTTGAGGTCTCCCCGGGATTCTATCTTGGGCAGCTGAAGAGAAATGGAGGTATCACAGAAGGCTTGGGGAAACTCCACAAAAAAAGCAGAAGCAGAGACCATCAGCCTACAAGCTGCTCCAGGTGCCGCTGGCTGACTCTTGTCGGCCTCACCTGACGTTCATCTTCCGAGAGTGGATCTGCATGATTCTGGCCCGGGCTTCCTCGTTGGGCATCGGGAATTCGATCTTGCGGTCCAGGCGACCAGAGCGCAGCAGAGCAGGGTCCAGGATGTCCACCCTGTTAGTGGCTGCAATGACCTGGGGAGGAAAAATAGCAACTGTAATTGAAGAGAGAGACAGACACAGTGACTGTCACAAAAGGCAGAGGCAGCGCAAGGTGTGGGTGAGAGAACAACGGATGTTAAAGGCTGGTCTTGTCGGGTGCCCCTGATAAAGGGCTTCGTATCTCTATGATCACCATCTTCACCTGAGGTGATGATGATTGTACTCACTTTCACTTGGGTGTTGGGCTGGAAGCCATCCAACTGGTTGAGCAGCTCCAGCATCGTCCTCTGCACCTCCCGGTCCCCAGCCTTCTCACTGTCAAAGCTGCACACAGGTGGACCGAGACACTGGTAAGGCACAGCTCAGTCATCCCCCTTTCTCCCCACACCTTCCCAGGGCACAGAAACATATTGCTCAATGTGGCACTACAGCTTATGACTGGAACAGAGTATGGTCAGTAACAGTGGATGACAACACGCAATTGAGGTGAGTCCTGGAGTCAGATGTCATGCTAAGACACAACACTGGGGAAAAAACAGCCCCTGCTAGCAGACACCAGATGAACCATTTGCCTCTACAATGGCTGAAACTCTCGAAATAAAGCAATATGGCCTAAACTCGGGGGGAGGAATTAAATAACAATGAAAAAAAATTTTTCTTTTACTTTTCAAAGAGAAGAGTAAGCTAGAGGGGAGGGGTGGACAGGGAGAAAAGTCCAACAATGAATGACTGGAAATCCATTAAAAAAAAGCAATATGGCCTAAACTCATGGGGCAGTCCAGATAGGCTGCTCCAAGAAGTGTTCCTCAGGCTGAAAAAACATGGAAGGCTGAAGGCTGAGAAGATCCTGGCAAGCAGTGAACCAATGGGAATAAGGGAAGAGGAAAAGCACATCCCAGGGATCAAACAGCAGGAAGAGAAATCCTCCTTCCACAGAGCCAAAAACAAAGCAAACATAGTGTTCAGCATTTCTCCCAAGTAGCAATGGGAAAGCCAAGCGATGATTTCAACTAGGGTTGGTTTGTTCAAGAGGTAGCACTAAGGTTAATGTAAGAGACCTGAGTGAAGTGACCAGATTTCAGTTTTGAACAACTATGGTGGCAAGAAAGCTGTAAGGAGATTGGTGTTAGGTGTAAAGAAGGGAGTCAAGAATTCAGAAAGTAGAGCTGTAATAGAGCAGTAACTGGGGTGGGGGGCGAGCCTGAATTTAGCCCAATGGGGACTCCAGGCCCTCCAGCTACACGCTACACATGTCCCCTTGGTGGCACTCAGCACCTCCTTACCGCTTGGTGCCAATGGCGTCCAGCTCGTCGATGAAGATGATGGACGGAGCTTTCTCTTTGGCCAGGGCAAAGGCATCCCGGACCAGCTTGGCACCATCTCCAATGAACATCTGCACCAGCTGGGGACCAGCCAGCTTCAAGAAAGTGGCCTGGTGGAGAACGGGTATGGTGGGTACATCAGCCCCAAAAGTTTCACAAGAGACCCCTCTGAGCCCACCTGGTAGTTTCATTCCCTCCTCATTCCTTCTAAAGCACTCACCTTGGTCTGTGCAGCACAAGCACGGGCCAGTAGGGTCTTTCCTGTGCCCGGGGGTCCGTACATCAGCACCCCTTTGGGAGGCTGGATCCCCAAGTTCTCAAACTTCTCTTTGTGGTTCATTGGCAAAACAATGGCCTCCACCAACTGCCAAGAAGATGATCTGGGTGAGAAAAGCGAAGCCCTGAGGGCTATTAAACGCAACCCACCATGGCTTCAACCCAATCGGCAACCTTCCTACTCAACTCAGATCCTGCCTTATTCTTGCCCAATCTCAAGACACAGAAGACCAAGTACATCAACTGAGCGAGTTCTGCTAGATATGTGGAAAGACACAGGCTTGAAAACTAGAGTCTGAGCTTTTGTTCCGGCTCTTCCTTAACCTTCTGTGACCCTTGGAAAGTCATTCTCTCTAGACCTCAGTCTCCTAACCTGCTACATGGCATGCCTCCTTTCCTCCCTAATTTGATGCTATGAACAGAAGAAACAGAGTCCACTAAGTGCTGTAGTTTATCAAACAAAACCCACGAGAAAATTTTTCTGGCGGTCACGTCTCCCTTACCTCCTGGATCTGCTTGTCCAGGCCCCCGATGTCACTGTACTGCTCTGTGGGTCTCTCATCCACCTCCATGGCCTTCACCCTTGAGTCATACTCGGTGGGCAGGGTCTCCAGGATTAGATAGGAATCTTTGTTCACACCCTAGGGATAGAGCAAAGCCATCAAATTTGTCATAGCTCAAGGCCCACCAACTGACAGGGAGACAAAGTATCTCAAACGCCAAAGGGAAAGAAAACACAGGATTAGGCAATATAAGTAGCAACAGGGAGAACAGGTTCTGGATTCTCAGGGCTGCCCTACTAAGATCCAGGGCCTACTGTGGCCTATGGACTGAAACTAGGACTCAGTCAGCAGGCAGGAAAGATCTAAGTGGCAAAGATGTTCAAGGACCACTCACCACCAGGTCTCCTGGCTTGAGCTTTTCAGCATCCACTAACCCAATCACAGGCAGGAAGTATGTCTGAAGGAAAAAAGAGCCCAACAGTCTCAGACTGTCCACCCAGCACCCTCCGCTTGCCATCCTCAGGGCTCCTGTTATTAAGCCAGCCTTACCTGTCGTGTGGAGGTTTTGATAACGGCACACTTGCCCTTCCTCTGAGAGTCCAAGTCAATATTGGCACCATCTTCCTCTTGGTCATTGGGATCAACATCTAACAGCTGACAAGGGAAAATGCTTGGATCAAGAGGCCTCGCTCAGCATCCCGTACCCCTCACCATTTGGTGCTTCCTGAGCCCTGGAACAATCCCCAGCACCGGCTGGTCAACTTTTCCTCACCCCTCAAACTAGCCCTGGGCCCAGCAAAGGTGTAGCTGATAAGCCAGGGGACTGACAAGGTCTCTGCTGACATGCTTTTTCACTGCACAGAGATTGTCTACTCCTGAGGAAAGAAAACAGCAGAAAAAGCACGAGACACTTCCAATGCCTTTCTAGACCCTATAACTCCCTGGGAATTACAGGCTGGCGGGGTGGGGGTGTGTGTGTGTGTGTGTGTGTGTGTGTGTGTGTGTGTGTGTGTGTGTGTGTGTGTGTGTGTGTGTGTGTGTGTGTCTCTCTCTCTCTCTCTCTCTCACAGGAGCACAGCTCTCAAGTGCCACCTGGGTCTCAAAAAGCCTAGCCCCTCATTCCCTAGCGGCTTCACTACAGATCGTCACCCTGGACAGTCAAGGCCTGCTGAGCGCCTCTTCCCCTCCACATACACACACACCTCGATGACGTTGGAGACGAGGTAAGGCAAGGTCTTGTTCACTTTGATCTTCTCGCTGTTCTCTTTGATCTTGTCTTTCATGGCCTGGAGCTCATGGGTGACTCTCAAGACTTCGCTTTTCATGATCTAAAAGGAGCGGAGTTGAGGCACACGTTCCCCTCCCTCCCAGATCCCAGATCCCGTGGCCATCGAGGCCCAGGCCGCCCAGGGTTCCTCTCCTCCTCCCTCCACCCCACTCTAAGGGTCCCCAAAGGCTCAGTCTGTGTCCACATGCAGCAGAGGGACACACCAAGAGGTCACCTGGGAAAAACCAGGTGAGGTGGCTGCAGAACAGAGAACAGGCCAGGCCCTCCAGTTCAGGGAAGGGAACCTGACCTGCTGTCCCGACGTGGACACTTCAGCAGGGGAAAGCCTGAGTCTCAGGCCCCACATCCATAAAATGACCATGCTGATACCCCACACACGGCGGGGGAAGCCTCAAGACCCTCTGCGCCGGCTCCTCGCCAGCCGGGGTCTCCCTCCACGCCCCCCAACCCTGTCCCGTTCCAAGCTTTGTTTTCGCCTTTCCTGGGAAGCAGGGGGCAAGCTGGGGCCCGCGTGTCAACCCGAGGGGAGAGGGAGCCCAGAAAGGACGCAGACGAGGCGCTGAGGTCCCCACGGCGGTCAGGGGCCGCGCGCCCACCTTGATCTCGCTGTCCAGCAGCCGTGTGCGCTGAATGATCTCCTCCGTGGACATCTTGAGCACCTCCTCCCCGATCCCATCTTGCTGTTTCAGAATAAAGTTATCATCATCATCACCACCATCGTGTTCACTCCGAACCGCATCTCGCGCCGGGAGCCCACTCGCAGCCCGCTTCCCCACCTCTAAAGCCAAGATGAAGGACTCCCCAAGCGGGGACTCGGCCCCCCACCCCCCGTCCTCCCTCCCCGCGAAGTGCGTCCGCCCGCTGGACCCTGCGCCGCGCCCCCAGCGCTCCCAGCGCCCACCTCAGCCTCATCCCACACGGTCGCCATCTTCTCCTGCCGAGTCACGGGCTCCTCGAGTTCCGGCATCAGATTCACTTCCTGGAGAAGGCCGAAGAGCGGACGCGTTAGAAGCCGCGGCGGAAGACTAAGGTCGCCTTTCTTAACGCCTGCTCATCACTCCTAGAAGACCCTTCCTTGCCAAATACTCAACACCTGGGCAGGCGATCTCTCTACCTGAGTCACCCGCGTCAACGAAGAGAATCTGCTTCTCCAGCTCAGAAGACGGAAACCCGGCGCAGTCCCCGCCCCGGTCTTATTTATACCCAGCGCGAGTGCTGGGCCGCTATTGGTCGGCGCGCACAGCAGGGGCGGGACTCGAATGCAAAACCGGAAGGGGTGGGAGGACATAGGGAAGCCGCGAAGACCTTTGGGAAATGTAGTTTTACCCTGACCCACAAGTGAAAGGACTTTACCAATGGTGCTATTTCATCCCAAAAACTCTACCCTGCATCAGGATTGGAGGGAGGCTCATCAACAACCTGCGTTATACAAATGACATAATCTTGTTTGCTGAAAATGAGGAGGACTTGAAGCACTTGTTGCTGAAAATCAAGGAACGCAGCCTCAGTATGGATTGCATCTCTGTCAAGAAGACAAAGATTCTTACTTACCGCTAGACAGATAGGCAGCATCATGATGGATGGAGAGAAGATTGGAACTGTCAACAGCTTCATCTTGCTTGGATCCACAATTAACATTAATAGTATCAGCAGTCAGGAAATAAGGAGACATATTGCACTGGAAAAATCTGCGGTTAGGGACCTCTCCAAATTATTGAGGAGTAATGATGTCATTTTGGAGACTAAGGTGCATCAGGAAGGCCATAGTCTTTCCGATTACTTGCAATGCATCTGAAAGCTGGACAATGAATAAGGATGACAAAAAAATAGTTGATGTCTTTGAGCTGTGGTGTTGGAGAAAAGCACTGAACATCCCATGGACAGCCAAGAGAATGAAGAGATATGTCTTGGAGAGGGTGCAGCAGGTGTGCTCTTTGGAAGCAAGAATGATGAGACTTCACCTCACATAATTTGGGCATATTGCTAGGAGGGGCTATATTCCTTGGAGAAGGACATGATGCTAGAAAGAGTGGAGAGTTGGCAAAGGAGAGGAAGACCCTTGACCAGGTGTACTGACATGGTGACTGCCATGATGGACTCTTATATGTCAGGAAGTATGACAGGGTTCAGATCTTTTGTTCATAGGGTCACTATGAGTTGTACTTGACTCAATGGCACACAACAACAACAACAACAACATAATGACTTTCTCCCAAGCCATAAGAATACACTCCATATTGTGCAAAGATCTAGAAAAAGAGAATTCCACTTCAAGCTGCATTTTTTTTTATTGTAAAACACATGTATAGGGATCCAAGGGGGTAAGAGTTGGGAGCACAAGAGTGAGAATGGGCAGGAATGAATTCACAGAGCTGCACAATTTGCTGGGTGGAGAGAGTGGGTGAAGGAAATAAGAAAGATCTAGAGGGAACCAGAAAAGACAGGGTAATGGTAAGCATAGTTCAATAGTAAATTTTTTTTAACAAATTGTCTTTTTCTTTTGTGGGTTTCTCATTTGGAAATGGGGCGCAGACTCTCTGGCTTCTTTATGCTGAACAGGGGCATTGAGGTGAAGGGGAGCCCACTTTAACACTTTACTGGTGGTCCTGAGTTGAAGCTGCATGCCTTTTTGTTCAGTTAGAAGATATTTTCCTGACATTTTCTGCTTTATGGACTGTAAAGTGTTTGCCAAGGTGAGTCCAGTGGGGGTGACTGACTGAACCTTGAGGCTCCATCCTCCTTCACTTCCTTAGCTGGCAGTTATATTTCCCTTTGGTCTCTGGAACTGGGCTTAGGGTTCAGGTCTGGAGCAAGACTCAGTTTCAGGTTACCTATAGGAAAGGGAGGAGCATGGTGGTGTGAGCACAGGAATCATGGCAAGCTTTTGGAGTCGAGTGCTTTTCCAGGAATGTGTTTGGTGTGCAGGTTTGCTCTGTAACTGGTAGTGAGGCAAGCCAGGCTTGGCCTAGGGTTTGAGCCAGGAGGCAGCCTTAAGCCCAAAGGGCCCTTGGGCCTGCGGCCCTCGGGTCAGGTTCAAATTGTTTTCCTGTCAAACATTCTTCTAGGTGGTATAGCACTGGTCTGTGTATTGCTGTACAGAGGTAACTCATGGTTGCTGTGATGCTGAAGACTGTGACAGTGATGTGCCAATCATGGTAATGGGTACCCATGGTGGACAGAGTTGGCTGGAGATTCCCCACTACAGCAAGCCTGGAAGCAGGGGCGGCATCCACTTCCGAAATGGCTTGCCTCCAGAAACTCTATGTATGAACAGTGCTCAGGCTGTTCGTTCATAGGGTTGCTATGAGTCGTCTACGACTTGACGGCACCAAACAACAATAACAATGACAACAACAAAGAGAGAGCTACGTTGGCCTAGTGGAAAGGAAGTTATGCTACCAAGCCGAAGGTGGGTGATTTTCATTTGTGGCCCTCGGCCAGGTTCAAATGGTTTTCCTGTCAAACATTCTTCTAGGTGGTATAGCACTGGTCTGTGCATTGCTGTACAGAGGTAACTCGTGGTTGCTGTGATGCTAAAGACTGTGACAGTGATGTACCAATCATGGTAATGGGTACCCGTGGTGGACTGTGTTGGCTGGAGATTCCCAACTACAACAAGCCTGGAAGCAGGAGTGGCATCCACTTCCAAAATGGCTTGCCTCCAGAAACTCTATGTATGAACAGTGCTCAGGCTGTTCGTTCATAGGGTCGCTATGAGTCGTCTATGACTCGACGGCACCAATCAACAGCAACAACATAGGAAAAGGAGCAAACCTAGCAAGAACAAACTTGTGAGTTACAAAAAGAAGAGCTTTGGAGGTGTTAGTTACAGATGTACTGAAGAAGGAAGTGGAGTAAAAAGGCTTAGATAAAATTCCTCATACACACCAGGCAGCTCTCCCCAGCAACCTGGACCTTACAGCTCACCCTGGGGGCCAGGTGGCATTCCCTGGGGGTGGGGGGAAGGGTTTGGGTGGAACACCCCAGGGACTTGTGCTGCCTTTTTATAGTAATTATTTCATCACAAGTTTATTTAAGCAAGGAAAACTATTGAACATATCAAGGACTGTCAAGAAAACAAACAGCTCTTACCTGGAGAAGATGAAGTCAAGTTGCTCCTGGGAGACAAGGATTTTGAAACTCTGTCTCACATACTTTAAGCAGGTTGCCAGAAGGGATGAGTCCTTGGAGAAGGACATTGTGCTTGGAAAAGTGGAGAGTCAGTGCAGAAGAGGGAACACCCTGAATGAGATGGACTGACAGAGTGACTGTGACAATGGGGGCAGATGTGTCAGTGACAGTAAGAATGGCTCAAGATAGGGCGGGAACCAGAGCTATTGTTCATAGGGTCACTATGCACATAACAGAGATATAAGTCACACCTGCCACTAACTCTGGAGCAGGGAATTGTGCAAGCGGCAAGTGCTCTATTGACAATCAGCCTCCACTTTATTTTTATGAAAATCCTTTTTTAAGGCAAAATTTATACATGTAAGGAACGCAATGACAGCAAGCTTAGAAATTAGTTATAAAATTAAAATTATCCATTTAAGAACAATATATCAAAAAAATAATAAATTGGCAAAATTAATAAATGTCGACAGATTCTAGACACTAGAAATAGATTCTAGATTTAAATCAGTGTGAGTAACCATTGCAGGAACATGGAAACAGCCCAGGTGTCCAACCACAAACAAATGGATTGAGAAGTTGTGGTACATTTATACAACGGAATACTACGCAGCATGCAAGAGCAATGATTTTGTAAATTACTACCCAACTTTTGAGAGACTGGAGAGCATTATGCTGAGTGAACTAACTCAGTCCCTCAAGGACGAATACTGTATAAAACCATTATTGTAGAATAATTATGAGGATCCAAGGCAGGGGAGGAAGGTGCAAATAGAGGGGTAAGGATGGGGGGGGGTAGGGTGTTAATCATAGGGTTGTACAATTTAGTGGGTCAGTGGGGTGAAGGAAATGGGAAGGCTCTTTTGTGAAAAACAATGTATTCAAACTTGTAAATAAATCAGAATAAATCTTAAAAAAAACCCAAACCATACCAAAAACCCAGTGTAGGATAGAATAAGTATTTCTAGTTACTTGCTACTTTTAAAAGTTTCCCTCAAAACTATACAGCCTCCACTTTTTAAAACATCGAATCACACCTGTGATGGGCCATTTTCTCTGCCCATGGTTACTTCAGTAAATAGGTTGGATTTCTTTTGATCAAAGGCTCAAAGGACTCATTTGTTCTATCTCTATATCTCTCTTTTGTCTCAAAAGGAACCCTAGAACTTTAAAGGAACCCCTCCCACATCCATGTAAGTCAAGTAATTTATATGCAAGCAAAAAAATTACATATAAACAGTCTTGGCACCAGCAGCCAGGAAATTAAAAGGCGCATTGCCATGGGTAAGTCTACTGTTAGGGACCTCTCCAAAGTACTGAAGAGCAATGGTGTCTCTCTGGAGACTAAGGTGCGTCTGATACAGGCCATGGTCTTCACAATCACTTGTTATGCATCAGAGAGTTGGACAATGACTAGGGAGGATAGAAGAATTGACGCCTTTGAGCTGTGGTGCTGAAAAAGAGTACTGAATGTACCATGGACTGCCAAGAAAACAGATTCGTCCTAGAGAGGGTTAAACCAGGCTACTCCTTGGAGGCAAGGATTCTGAGGCTCTGTCTAACATACTTTGGGCATGCTGTGAGGAGAGACCGGTCCTTAGAGAGGGACATCATGCTTGGTAGGGTGGAGGGACAGCGCAGGAGAGGAAGGCCCTCTATGAGGTGGATTGATTCAGTGACTGGGGTAATTGGGATGGGAGTGTCAGAGACAGTGCGACTGGCACAGGACAGAGCGGAGTTTAGGGCTGTTGTACATAGGGATGCTATGAGTCGCAGGCGACTCGACGGCACATAACAACAACAAACAACAAGTAAAAAAAGAAAAAAGACCCTCCAACTTGGTGAAAATCTACCAGCTGGTTTTCTTCTCTCCTGTAGTTGAAGGCAGGAATT